TGAAACCTGGTGCTGTAAGCTGGAATACCTATTTGTGTGATGTGCTGAGAGATGACAGAGTTGGGAACAATTGCTCTGCTAATGGGAAGTGAGAGGGGAGGGGAAACTGGAATTTCTCCTTATGCTGCTCCTTATAGAGAGAATGCCATTGGTACATTACACAAGACACTAATAACACATTTGGAATGATCTAGTCACTCTACCTACTTACCTACCTACCTGTCTAGAAATGGTCTCGTGACATAAAAATATTCCTTAAAAATAAACACATTCTTTTTAATGACCACAGTACGCTAGCAAACTCTTGTTTTTTTATCTGCTTGTTCAGTTTTTATATAAACCTCTCCTCCCTTCTGTGACTCAGGACTTCATATTCGGGTTCACCAGCCCTCTAACTCCAAGTTGTGGATGCTTTGGGAGGGAAATGCTGACACTGAACTCAGGTCACTGGCTAGTTATTAATATCAGTTGCTTTTTAGTACAATACCTTGTCTTTCCTCCATATAGGTAATAGACTGGTATTGAGGACCTAGCAATGATATTTTGGACTTTGCTGCTAGTCTCATTTCAGTGATAGGATTCTGACAGTGGCCTTGCTCAGCCAACTGATATTCATCAACTTCTTTACATGTATATCATAAATAACTTACCCATGCTGTTTCTTGTTTTCTTAAGTGGAAGATGAATTAAAGAATGGGATTTATTACCATAGCATAAATCTAAAGCCCAAAGGAAAGCATGAAAAGCTATGATTTCCCCAGTGGGGCTCTCCACTGACTGATAGATCACATTCATGTTAAGCATATGCCAGACCCAAACCATGAAAACCACCAATGTGCACATGAAAATTGTTTTTAAGTATACGTAGTGGCATGGTAATGAACGAGGAGCGTGAGGTCGTACATCTGCAACAGGCAGGAAGTGACAGAGATCTGGTTCAAATGTTTCCTAAACCTCAGGTTTTGCCCATTAAGGGAAAGAAAAAAAAATTGAAGACTGGTACTGCAGAGGTACTAACTGAAACAATTCAGAGAACATAAATGCTGGAGTAAGTTTGGGCTTACCATATCGGGCAGGTTTCAATGCACATGCAGTGTTCCAACTTCTCCCTTCCTTGGGAGAATATAATTAACTCCACCGCAATGAGGTGAAAGCTGTGAGGCCCCTGTTTCTTGATGCTGGCAGCTTCCGTGTGACAGAGCCACACCTGCCATTGGCCACTCCTGCCTTGATGGCACAGAGCCTTGGGCCACATATAAGTCAGGTTACAAGCCACCGTGGACAGAAAGCTTGTGTTTCTAAGTAGCTTTGGCTCTTTTCTAACGACAAGGAACATCCAACTTCTCCAGCTACTTGACTCCATTCCTGGTCACCTCTCTTTCATACCAGGTGGCCCTAGGCAAACAGAAAATGCCTCACTCACAACTCTGGCATAAGGGATTCTTGCCATTGCTGATGATGGTCCATATCAGCTACTGCAGGTAGGCTGTGGAAGAGGCCAGGAACCAAACAAGGAAGAAAAACTGAAGGTGAGCACCTGCTGGCAGGTGAGAGACCTGAGCTGTACATAAAGCACTCAGTGAGAGAGAACATGAGGAAAACCAAGATGGGAATAAGCTTAAGCTAAGCTTGGCAGTGATCAACTGAGGACAAATGATGAGGAAGCTGCAGCTATTGGAGTTCTGTGAAACCCAGAAAAGCTTCTGCTTGACCATTGGACAAAATTGACAGAATGAAGAGTTCACAAGAGGCATATATATAGTAGTAGACATGATACTCCAGTGAGCAAAAGTAGCTGTACAACATAACACTTTCATGATACCTAAAAGTAGACCATAATTTCTAAATTTTAGAGAAGGTCAAATAAAATTCATGTTTCTTTGTCTTGTGGCTGCTATCCAACTGTCAGATCTCCCATCCACCATTCATTTCCCCACTTTCCTCCACATTCCCATTAGAGAAAGGAGGCCAATGTAAGGTTGGTTCTGCTTTGCTCAGTAAAACAAGCAAACAAAACCTCACAAAAGTGTAAATCCTGCAACTGTCATTGAATAAAAACTGCAGGGTAGAGAGAATGAAATTAAGGTAATCTCTCATGCACATTTATTAATAATTGGGATAGCTCCAAGAACATTTGACAAATAAAGGACACAGGAATCATTTCCTTCAATGAATTCAGCAAGAAGTAGTAGTTCAGGATCTCATCACTTAAGTGGAGGATTTTCTCAACAAATAATAAAATATGGCAGATTTTTACAGTGTGTAATGCCAATATTAACTTCTTATGTTCAGAACAATGGCCACTATTTTACCAGCATTTTCTTTTTCAGAAGTTTTCTCCATGGAAGTATCATTTTTCAGTCATGATAGTTACCCTTTAAAGTACACACTGCAGTATGCTCTCCTTTTGTTCATATACTCACTGTACTGCACAACTATCACAGCTGTGTAAGTCTAGAGCATTTGTATCAACCCCCCCAAAGAAACCCTGAATCCAGGACCCTCCACTCTTCCATCTCCTTTTGCCCCATTTCTGGGAACTACTAATCCACTTCCTATCTCCATGAGTTTTTCTACTCTGGACATTTCAAATAAATGCAATCATACACTATGACATGCTGAGTCTGGCTTTTTCAATTAAGTGTATCTGTAAGAATTATCCATGTTGCAACATGGATCAGTACTTCTTTGTATTGCTAACTATTATTCCATTGTTCAGGCTACCATGTTTTGTTTATTTGTTCATCATCTGACAGAGAGATAAATGTTTTCCACTCTTCAGATAGTTTGAATAATGCTTCCATGAACTTCAATGTGTAAGTTTTTGAGTGAATATATAATTTCAATTCTTTCGGCAATATGCATTAGATTAAAATTGTAGAGTTATATGATGAGTCCATGCTGAACATTTTGAGAACCTACCAAACCACCAGAGGAGCTGCACCATGTTTTCACTCTGTGGAATTTCTCCACATTATTGTCAGCACTTATAACTATCTTTTTTATTATATCCCTAACCACAAGTGAAAGTATATCATGGCAGCTTTTCTTCTGCTTTACCTAAAGACTAATGACGCCAAGCATCTTCTCATGTGTTTATTGGTCATTTGGATATTTTTTTGAGAAATGTTTATTCAAATACTTTGCCTATTTGTGAGTTGAGCAACTTATCTTTATAGAGTTGAGATGTTCCATATTTGTTGTATGAATTATTTCCCTGGAGATTCCTGCTCAAATATAGTGTCCTCCCTACTTTAATCACTATTTAGGGGATGATGAGTATCATTACTGATTTGGGTAATGATTAGGCTGCAATATTTATTGAACACTTACTTTGTTCCAGACACTATTTTTATTCATCTACTGCTAAAGAAAAGCCTGCTGCTTAGGCCCTTAAATATTCATAACAATTAGCAAAGCTATTCCTTAAGGAAGCACTCATGTGTTTTGTTCCTATGAGACTCAGAGTCATCGTATTACCCCCTTCTGCCAAGTAAGTAGAGTTAATTAATAGAGCAAATGCTTCTATTGGTAGGTAAAGCACTTTTAGTGTTTGGGATGTCTAGAATACGTTAATCACTTTTAGACTCAAGAGGAGTGCTTCAAAGTTCCATTTTAAATGTTTGAGATTAAAATTATGCACTTGTTTCCTGAAAATGCACCCAAGAGAATCCTTTTCAAATTGTTCTTGATGTCTTCTTACAGCACTAAGTATGAACAATGCTTACCAAAGTGGCAAAGAAAAAGAATCATAAACAATCTGCAGGAGAACATGCAGGAAGCAATGGATTCATTCTCTTAAACCAATTGTAGCAAAGTTGACCCTGCTGACATGTAGAGGTTACGGAGGTCAGGAAGGCTACACACGGGGGTAGTGAACAAACTAAGACACCTTCTAAGAATAAGTGATCAGGAGAAGGGCAAAGCTGAGGCGAGGCCATACCTTCACCAGCTCCCCTTTTTCTGTGAAAAGTGGTTCAATTCTCAGCCTCCTTCTCTTAGGCAGTACACATCCAGCACATGCTACCTTACAATCTCCCTTTCTACTTCCTTCATCTTCCCTTGAAAGTCAAGCAACTCAAACAAAATCAAATGGAGGGTATGAGGTGACATAACATCATCTCAAACCTTCACTTTATCAATTTCAGCATTTGTAGATTTCTGCTCTCTCACACACTCAAGTTCCCAAGATCTCAGCTAGCCCATCTAACCTCCCCAGGAGGCCAATTCTCAATAATCAGAGCATTGGAATTCCTGCCTCTGACTCTACTCACTGGTTCTATCAGTGAAGCCACTGGCAGGCTATACAGAGCTATTCAGGGACAGGACAGTACCTCTCACCTCGCAAAGGCCACCAGCTCCACCACTTCCATCCAAGACAGTTCTGTCAGGGAGCTCCCATAATGTACTACACTATCATTCATGTAAACAAGACCCAGAACAAAGACTTCAATATACAGAATTAAACCTAAGCTCCTCAATCCTGTGTGCCTCTGGAAATGCTTTTATGGAGGATTTACCTCTTGGGGATAGCACACTGCTCTAGAGTAACACAGGACAGTGGAAAGGGTATCCTGTGCCGAACTATGTTCCCCTAATAGTTATATGTTGAAGACCTTCCCCCACCCAGTACTCAAGAATATGACTATATTTGGACAAGGGACTTTGAAATATGATTAGAAGGAAAAAAGGCCATTGGCAGGGGAGGGCCTTACCTTAATACAACTGGTGTCCTTAAAAGAAGAGAGGACATTTGAACATAAAAAGAAATGCCAGGGGCCTGGCTGCATTAAAAATATAGTGAATAAATGCCAAGAAGCAACCAGCTGCAAGCAGGAAGGAAAGGAGAGATCCCACCTGCCCCTCTGACCTCGCACATACAGCCTCCAGCACTGGGAGGAATACCTACCTCTCTTTTGAGTGCCCTGGTCTGAGCTGTTTTGCATGACAGCTCCAGCAAATGGGAATACGGGGACCTCCAGGGGAAAATAGGCACTCACCCTGTAGTAGTCAGTGCTGTACACATCCCGGGACATCCCAAAGTCCCCGATCTTCACCAGCAGGTTCTCCCCCACCAGGCAGTTTCGGGTGGCCAGGTCACGGTGCACAAAGTGCTGGGACGCCAGGTACACCATGCCTGCGGCAATCTGCTGTGCAATGTGCAGCATCTGTGACTGTGTCAGCTCCGTGGGTGGGTTGCCCTCTGCCATCAGTACTGCATCAGGTCCATGTGCCCTAGGGAGAGCAAGGAGGGGAGGCAAGGCTGGAGCCTCAGCCCTGACCAGAGGGGCTGTCTCACTCAGCACAAGGAAGGACTAAGATGCTTCATAGCACCCAGCTTTGCCTCTAAAGCTGCTACAGCACCTTGGCTGTCTCTTCTCCTTGATTGTAGAATTGCAGGGTCACAGGAACCTGCTGCTGCCCCACCCCCATGCTGACAGGATTTGGGGGACTTCAGAACCCTGGCCAGAGCCTCTGATTCTGAGAAGTAGAAAATGGCCCCAGTAAAGGAAAATGCTGGGAAGAAGGGCTCTCCTAAGGGTGGGGCCAGGGCATCCCAACATCCCACAGATTCCCCACCCCACCCACCAAGCCTTGTACAGTGAGAGACAGAGAACACCTGAGCCCCAAACTGATCTCTCCAAGGCTCACCTCCAGCCCCTAAGCTTTCAGTCTACCTCAACTGTGGTTACAGGGGTTGGGGAGCTCCCTTATGCCAGTGCAGCAGAGCCCCAGGGTGACCTCAGTAAAGATTGTCATCCCCAGTACAAAGCATGGCTTCCACCAGGCCACCTTCCTACTAGCCCTATGCTCAACACATTCCATGGTACACATAGGAGAGCTCCTCCAAGCCACTCACAATGTTTCCTTTGCTGGGGGCAGACTGATTCTTTAAACTATTGCAGTCTGATGTAGATTTTAATCTTTCTGTTTTGCATGTTTTAGAATTGTGTGAAGGTGAAGCCACTTGTGGTTGCAGAGGGTGATGACTCTTTCTTATCTCGAATTGGCCCAAACTCTGCAGAGCATCTTCTTTGTCTTTTCATACCTTTAATAAATATAAAACATTACTACTTGTTTTTGTTTGTCTTGACCAATTCTTTGTTCAGGACAGAAAGGACCTGGAAGAACCCTCTAGAGGGAGACTCCAGCACCCGAAACCTGGTGACAGCATCAACACTGAATTTGAATCCAGGCCTAACACAATGGCTGCGTGGTTCTGGGTAAAATAACCGTTCTGGGCTTGTGGCTTCATTGGAAACAAAAAAATGAAGACTCTAACTAACTGTATGTCTGTGAAGGTTTTGTTGTGAGAACAAATTGAGGCTGTACAGTGTTTCCCAGACTTTCATTAGGAACTCAGAGCGAAAGGCTCTCAAAACATAATAAAAACACCTCTTTTCTTTGAAAAAGCTATGGACAGGTGGCAAGAAGACATTAATTATGCTCTGATAACAAAAAGCATCCTTTCATTAACAGTTAATCAAGCCCAACTCATTAGAGCAGCCCCAATCCCTCAACTACAGAGCAGTACTCATCTGCGGTCTATTAGGGCCTGACAGCAAGCTGAGGGTAGAAGGCTAGGAGTGAAATGTCCTCTGTATGGAAACCTGGCTTCCACAAAACCAGTCCATGGGGCCACAAAGGTTGAGGACCACTGCTTTCAGGGTCAGGGAAAGATTTTCCTCCACTTTCTAAACTCTACTGAGATATTGACACCCAGGAGAAGGACCTAGGGTGCACACAGATGAGGATCCAAAATGAAGATCTAAAGAACCTGGCCAGGAGCCAGCCTCATAGACTTAGTTCAATGAAATTCAATGAAATATGTTGTAGATTGAGTACAGTCTACTGTAACATTAGAAAACTGGACAAATTGGAGGCATGAATTCTGGATGGAGGGAAGGCCTGAGACCTACACAGGCCACCTTTGTGCCAGGTGCCATCCTCCAGCCTTTTACTGTGCAGGCATGAGGAGATGGGGACCCTCTAGGGCAGGGCTGCCGCCATCCTAGCCAGCCTGGCTTAGAGGATGGGCCCACATCTCTAAGAAGCCACTTCAGCTGCTTCCACCAGGTCTAGGAACAGCGTTCTTTTAACATCAGAAGGCCCTGGACACTTTAAAGCAGAAAGATCTGCTTTAGGTCAGGTTTCCGAAGAAGGTCCAAACAGGAATGTAAATGAAGTAGAACCGCACACTTCACCTTTGCTCCTTCCAGTACCAGAAGTGAAGACGCTCTTTCCTATTCCAAGAGAACACTAAATGCACTTTCTCTCTTCTGGGAGAAAACAAAGTTGCACTTTCCACTAAGATGTGCATCCCTTATTCTGGGAGAACAGTCAGATGTGTTTCTGTTCTTGTAGGAGAACAGTAAGGTACACTTCCTTTCTTCCAGGAAAAAGTTAGGATGCATTTCCTTCCTTCTAGGAGAACATTAAGATGCACTTCCCCTCTTCCAGCAGACACTAAAATCTACTTCCCTTCTTTCAGGAGAACCATAAAATGTACTTCTTCTCCCAGGAGAAAATAAGGTGAACTTCCTCTCTTCCAGGTGAGTGCTAAAATTCATTTTACCTCTTCTGGGAGAACACCACAAGGCACCTCCTGCTTCCAGAACATTCTTAGGGTGCAGATGCACCAGCATTCTGGCTTGAGCTGTGAGGAGGAGCAGTGCCCAGGACCTGCTCCATGGGCTGCTCAGCCTTCCTTGGCCGCTGTCCCCAGCAGAGGATGTGCCTGGCAGTTTACCACACTTTGCTTATTCTGGTGTTCTGCAGCATACTGGCGCTTTTCTTCTTTTCAAAATTAAAGTGAGTCTATTTATTTCAAAATATAAACTAAAATAACTCAATGGAAAGATACAATGATGTATATTTGGATATAATGTGCTTTTCCATTATGTGTACAGCGTGAGATGATCTCACAGCTGTCACGCACACTATGGACTCGGAAGTCAGGAGTTTGAATCCGCTTCTGTCTCCTGCTAATTGTGTGACTCAGTCTCCCCAAACATTGTATGGGAATGATGGTGATAATATTTTATTAGATTTAAGCAAGTTAAAATATTTAAAGTGCTCATGAATGCACTCAATAAACATGAACTTAAATCATTTGAAAGACACTTATCTTTCTCCTCATTGCAGGAGAACTATGGAGCAACTCTAGAGGAAAATCTGGGAAGCTTTCCCTGAAAACAAGGGTTTTGTTTTCCTCTCCCTTTCCTACTTCACCTAGCGCGGGGCTGGCCATGCTGTGATTAATATGAGCTTTTGGATGATAAGAAAGCTGGGGAGATAACAGAAGACATCCTGTTGTCAGGAAGTGCCAAGAACATGCCGGACCATCAATCACATGCATACATCAAGATTCTTCCAGAGGACAGACTCTCCTTGCAAGGCATTATTGCACTGAGTCCCTGGTTGCATGGCGACACTTTTCAACTGCACCTGGCCACATCTTCCATGGCCATACCTGGGTATGTTGCTCTTACAGTGTCTTGGGCTTTGAGTGATATTCTCTGACCCACTTGCAAACTTCCACAGACCCTCTAGGGCACACGACATGTAATATAATAAATGTTCAGTAAATGCAAGTTGATTCAAGTCCTTAGAGCATTATCGCATAGAGTTGCTTAAGAACAAGGAAGACACTGTGGCCTTCTTTTTCTTCTGTTTCTTTCTCAGGCATCTGTGAGGACAATTATTAGGAAGGGCTATTCTAAAGAGAGGAAAGGAGCTGGGGAGATGGCTCAGTAGAGTAAGCGCTTCCCTGGCAGGCGCAAGGGCCTGAGTTCAATCACCGGTTCCGAGAGAGAGAGAGAGAGAGAGAGAGAGAGAGAGAGAGAGAGAGAGAGAGAGAGAGAGAGAAGTGTTCCCTTCCCAGTAGCCCCTGTCCTGGCCTCCACGTTGTCAGAGCTGGAGGTTGGCTCTCTCCTTAAGCCCAGCTTCCCCTCTGGCCTCTCTTACCTAAGGAACTTGTTCAGGTCCCCGTGCTTCATGTACTCAAAGACCATTATGAGCGGGTCTCCCTCCACACAGACACCGTAGAACTTGACGATGTGCTCATGTTGCAGGTTGGTCAGCAGCTCAGCCTCTCGGTGGAAGTCCTTGCGTGCATTGTCACTGGCATCCTTTAGTGTCTGGGGAGAAGATGCACAGGAAGAAAAAAGCAAAGTTTTTAACCCAAGATATCAAAAAGCAAATGGATCAGCAAGGTATTTTATTACTGGTTCCTAAGAATTCTAGAAGAGAAAGTTATTTTTCTCTTTTATTGCACAAAAGACTGGAAAGTAGCATAAGTTCTTAGGAAATAATGTTTATATTAATGACTAAGCTAATCTTCATGGATAGGTAGCACTTTACACTTTACCAAGTACTTTCACAGATGTTCTCTTGTTAAGTCATTTTGCAAACTGCACATCTTTTATCTCTGGTCTGGGCCTAGCACTTATGAAGAGCTTTCCAATTTTGATTCCTTTTGAACTGCCTATGATAATGTGTACACCTCACTTCTGGCCAGAGAACCTTCTTTGAAACTTTACAGAATGAGAAGATTCAGCAGAGAAGAGCCAGTGAGCCATCATGGGCCATCTTTCCACTTCAGCAAGGATACCTTGCTGGTCCCTGGGTCACACACTAAGACCTTCTCCAGCTTGCAGCCCCCCACACAAATGCCTCAAGAAGTGTCCCCACAAAGTGAGCTTCAAGAGCACTCACATTGCCAGAATAAATATTGGCAGAAGCATGTCAGCTGGACTGAGATGTCTGTAAATCTCGGCTTATACCCCTGAGCCACCATGGGGTACAAAGCTGGCATGAGTTAAAGTCACACAAAAGGGCTGAGTCTTGTCAGAGACCATCACCAAATAAGAGCTGCTATGGCATCAAGAATCCATTGACACTGGTCCAGACTCAGACACTTATGGTCAAGTAGGGATATAAGACACAGAAATAACCACAAGTCCTACTCAACACCAAATGTCCTGAAGACCAGCTCCTTTGTGACTCTGGCCAGTGTGATCTTTGATATTGCTTCCTGAAGATTAGCACTTACATTTTGCAAAATCTGCTGCCATACAGATGACAAAGAGCTGGGTCTCCCTACCTTGCATATTCCTCTGCTTAGAATGTTAGCCTGGGTGTTCTCCCTAGTGTATGAGGTTAATAATGCCTCTTTCCATAGACTTCTACTTCCTAATCCCTAGTACCTGAGCATTTGTTGTCTGCCTTGATAAAAGAAATGCTACAATCTTATGAAGTTAAGGATCTTGGCATGAGCAGATTAGTCTGGTTCAGCTGTGTGAGTCCAGCAACATACAAAAACAACAACAACAAAAAAACCCGAAAACACACACACACACACACACACACACACACACACACACACCTTGTAACAGCAAAGATGGAGAAAATGTAAGGATAGAAATAGAGGTGTGAAGGGAGAGAAGACACTATTTTGCTGATTTTGAAGAAGGAAGAAGGGACCACAAGCTGAAGAATATGAGTAGCTTCAAGAAGATGGATAGCCAAGGAAGCCTAGAACTTTCAGAAGGATCCAGCCCTCCTGACACCTTGACTGTAGTTTAGTAAAATTGATTCTGGACATCTGACCACCAAAACTGTGAGAGTGAATTTGTATTAAGTCACTGAGTTTGTAGACATTTGTTATAACACCCCCTAGGAAGCTAACTCACATCTCTAAACACCAGAATTGCAAGATGAAGCTCCCCATCACTTCTCCAGGAAGACTCACTCAACAGCCTCTTGCTGCTGTTACAGTCTCATGGCTCCCCAGGCCCTGCTGGGCAACTCTCCTAGATGTACTTCACATTTACTTCTATTGTATCACTGAGATGATCACCAATGCTATAGCCTAACCGAGCTGACTTTCTTGTCTCTGGAATAGACTGAGCTCCTCTTATCTCTATGCCTTCCCTGTCTGCATCACCAGCACTGGACATGGTAGAGGGCATATGATGTGTTTTATTCAATAGATATCTACAAATTAATGATGTGGGTCATGGAAATCAAATGCTGAGAGCAAGAGTTCTTACAAGGAGTAGCTGCTTCAGACTGAGGGACAAGGATGAGGGACACCTGAGGTCACACCTGGTGGGGTGGCATGTGTGTGGATCCCTCCTCCAGGAAGACTGCAGCTGGTCTCTATCACAGCTAAATGGAGAACATAGACATATATATTCCCTCATTAGAACAAGATGAAGGCACTGGCACCCATCAGACTCATATGACTGCAGAACTCAAAACTGCATCTAGTATCCAAGAACTAACATGGCTGTAGGAGTCATTTCCCAAGTGGGTTCCTCTAGGGAAGTTCCTGAGCTGGGGCATCTGTAAACAGACTGAGAACTGAGGAGGAGATGAGCAGGGGAGATGTTCTTCATGGCATGTCTCAGGGTCTACATCTGCAGGAAAGTTTGGCAGAGGTCAGGCTGAACTGTGACTGTTTTAACAAAGCCTTATCTGGCCTATGAGACGAACATACAGAGCTGCCCTGAGGCTGCTTTCCCCTCATCAGTGAGTTCCTGGGGCAGGTCAACTTCTGGAAGAGAATATCAGCTAGAGTGGAATTTCTGAGGCCTCTTACAGGCCAGACAGTGAGGCTTGTCAGTTGGAGTCCCCAGCAACCTGGGGAAGCCTAAGTCTTTCTTTAGTCAGGCTCCGTGCTCATCCCTGAGTCCACCACAGGATGATTTCTCAGCATGCAGAGGACATCAGTGATCACGCAGGGCCTGCTCAAGTCAGCCTTAAAAGGTTAGGGGCAGTGCATGATCTCCAAGTGCTGTCAGCTCTCACAGCCTCCCAGCCTAGCACCTTCCTTAATTGCCTCTGTTTAGCAGGACTTAACAGTGCTCTGCTAATGGCGACCTGACACATAAAGGCAGAGATCATAGACATAGCTTCTTCTAGACCCGTGGCTGGCTTCTTGAGCCACTTCTGGAATCACTTTGCTACCCTCCCTTTGGCACATGGTTTCTAAGAACGGTTTTGCCAACTACAGGCTCTGCTTAGGAAATTGAGTGTAGCTGGCCCCTCAAGTGCTCAGAGAAGCATAAACCCTCATGTGCTGTTTCCATGGAAACAGCTCATGTCTTCATTTAATAAAATGAACAGTGGCTGAGATATGGTGTCTTGGTCTCTCTCTTGACTCTAAAGAGATGGCACTTGTTACAATCTCTCTGCCTCCTGATTTAGTTCACTAGAATTTACTCTACACTTCTTTGTGTTCCTGCTCACAGGAAGGATAAATATGCTTATGTTGACAGTTTTACTTAGGTCAGTTTTATCCATGAACATGCTTTTGGTGAGTTAAAAAAAATTTCCTCCCACTGTTTTGTTTTGATGAATTTCTCAGTGGTAAAACAGCAGATGAGGCAAGGAGATAGACTGGGAAAAAATGAAGACAAGAGTTGTTATCTTCCAGGTCTCTTTCCTGAGTTTACAGAACAAAGCACATACAAAGCATATATATAATCTCACATTTGACTTGCTTTATGGTATGGGATGTGACTGTGTCCACTACTTGCCTTTTAATGTGAAAGTGCATTCTGGTATCCTTTCTTCTTTTCTTTTCTTTTCTTTTCTTTTCTTTTCTTTTCTTTTCTTTCTTTTCTTTTCTTTTCTTTTCGCATTTTAGGGAAGGGTCTACAGGTTGTTCAGGTTCTCACTACTAGATCAGACTTGTAGTGATCTGCCTGTTTACAGCCTCCCAAGAGCTGGGATTACAAGTGTGTACCACCACACCCAGTCTCAATTGCCATTTCAGCACACCCTGGGGGTGGGGCTGGCACAGTAGACCCAAGGATCGAACCCCTGGCCCCTAAGCCTGCTTGCAGGTGCTTTAATCTACTGAGCTCTTTGGCCAGCCCTGGTATCCCTTCTCTTACTGGCTTCCCAAGTTCCAGGAAATCAAATAACCCCTGCCATACAAGGTGTGTTCAAAGTACATACAAAAGAACTCAGGAAAGGAATGAAACATGAGCCACTATCTGAAAAGGCAGAACATGAACCCAACTAAGGAGTGAAAACTAAGACAGAGCCCAAAAATGGCAGCTGGCAGAGGAACCCACTTCCTATGCTGAGGAGGACTGCCCAAATCACTCTCCTGAAGCCTGGATCCCAAATTCTTCTTTCTTTCAGTCAGTACAAATCTTTCCACTAGTATGCTCAATAGAAAAAGTTCTAGTTTAGGATTGAAAACTATAAGTTCAAACCTTGGCTCTGCCCTCAAACTGTTTGAATTCTGGCTTACCCGCCTCTACAGTAAGGGTGTGTTCATATCACCCACCAGCCCAGATTGACAGACAAGTGGATGGGAATTTTGTCTGTTAGCATTTCTCTACCAGGGTCTTTGAGAGAGAAGGACACTTGTGTAACTCAAATTTGAACACAGGCTTAGCTTCAATTTTTCCATGTAAGAAGAGTCAACAGAGACCAACAGATGTCTGGATTGGGCACAGGGAGAAGTGCTGATGGCCACTGTCTTCTTCTACTTGGCAGTCTATTTCCTGAAAGCATGGAGCTACCTCCAGAGACCGAGCGCTTGGCCTGTACTTTCTCCTTGAGACCTCGTCACTCCATTCAGATGCTGGTCTGAGGTGCAGAGAGAGCTCATGTTTACATCCTTAACCTGCGTCTTTTAGTGAGTTGGGAAAGGTGCTAATTGATTTAGGTCATTTTTACATGGCATGAACATACCCTGCATGCCATCTTTCTGTTCAAATTTTAGCTATGTAGTGTTGAGTCAAGAATGCTAGTTTGTATGTGTGGGGTGGGATGAGAAAAAGAACCAGATTTTTTTTTCTGGAAGCACCAACCTGAAAAGTCTGCATGCGTGTTACAGTCCTTTGAATCCATAGAAAATCACTGTGGGAAGTGGTCTGCTTAATTCAATGTTAAATGTTGTTCTTCAGTAACAATTTTTTTTTTGATGTAAAACAGATTTTACTATTCATAGGGCAAATGCATTTCACAAATAAGACCTTCTACATGCCTATCCATTTTGTATGTTCTCTCTTTTTCCTACATTATGACTCAATTTTATTTTAAGAGATTCAGAAATATATGGTGGCAGAAACTCAGGCAGAATCATCTTCTGAATTTGGCACTCATAGGACAGAAT